AAATGAACAAAATATGAAAATTTAAGTTAAATTAGGTTTAGTTAAATTTCGAAAAAATGTTCAAATTCGGGACCCCCTGAAACTAAGAATAAAACGCTCTGGGGATGGTACAGGCGCTGCTGAAAATATACACTATACACGCTTGGGGCAGGAAGGGTTAATACAAGTATGATAATAATATGGTTAAACACCCCCCCCCCCCCACCAACCAACAACATTCTTTAGATTTTTAGGAGGCTTCGACTCAGCTGCCCGTTACAAATTACAATGCAAACCTACACTGAGAAGGATGCACTGTTCCAGCATGAAGCTGAAATACTCCTAACTACTACACCACAAACACAACAGGGTTTGCAGAAATATTTATTGGTTAATGTGGAGAACAAGAGACACGAATATGGGGGGTGGGGGGGCATATTGATACTTTCCACAGTTCAGCTGTCTAAACAAAACATTTCATTTTGAATTGATTAAATGAGTCTTATAGAAATATTTTCGCACACACACACATCTTACTTGTTGCAGTCACAAGAAAATTGAGTAACTGTTAGTTTGACCTCACTTCACAGGGTCAGTAAAAATCATTGGAGCTTAAACTCATTTTTTCTTTTATGACTGTGATGATATGTTTATTATTGAACATGTATACAGTATCGATGTTATACATATATTAGACCTGCATGTGAGCCTCAACCAGATTGTCTAAAAATTTTGCGCAACCCCCCCCCCAAAAAAAAAGCCTTTGTGGGTGTCATAAGGAAGGACATCCGAGTAACGAGCGACCACCCCAACAAACAAAAAAAAGAAGAGACCTAACCCTACCCCCAAAAAGAACCTGCAACGGGCCTCTCATGTAAAATGGCCAAAACAAGTCCTAAATGAAAAAAAAAATTAAAATTTAAAAAACCACACTCCAAAACAAACAAGGAGCATATAGATCTATATCTATTTAGATCTAGATCTATATGGCTTACATCTACATGATTGCTATAGGGTTTGATACAATAACACAATGGAATTGGAATATGAATCCTCCATATAGAATAGATCTAGTAATCTAAATATAAATCTAAATCTAAATCTAGATCTTGTAGAACAAGTGAATAGGAATAGACCTTGAAAACTAGAAATCCGCATCCGATTCCGAACAGAGGGACTCAGCTGAGTCTAAATTCTGAATAAATAAATAATTCACGCACCTGATGAAATGCTTTTTACCAACATTAATATTACAGCACAACCTATGATAGGGTTTGACACAATAGAATTGGAATATGAATCCTCCATTGAGGTCTATAATGATCTATATAAATCTAGATCTAGATTCTATTAGAACAAGAGAGTCGGACTTGAATGAATCCACACGATCTGAACAATTGAATTAGATCTAGTCAACAAACGAAATTCAAAATGGCCGCTCGAGCACGAAACTGAAAGTAGATGATTTAGGGTGTCGTCCTTTTTCGTATTCGCATTTCTACTTAGGTTCCGTCAATTATGTCGGAAAACGCCGACGTCGGCAGTCAGCACGAAAACGAAAGTGCCGACGAAGCCGACGGGAGAAAAAGGGGTCGCTGGCGGTCGGCCAGGCCTCGCACTAAGCACATTGACTGATACAGGCGGAGCTAATGATAGCATTGGCCGGTTCGCGGGTCGGGTCGTGATTGTCGGATTTCAGACGATTGTCGGCAAACATGCAGGTCTAATATATACTCCTGAGTGAGATAGTGAGTTGCGAGTCAGTCAGGTTTCATGCCAGTCACAAGACACATACACACGGTCTCAATCTATATATGTACATTATGTCACAAAATGCTGCCATTCGCGCTCTGAAGTTCTGCCCAGGATTGTCAAAAAGATAATGCTCACCACTGATGACACATACACAATTGAACCTGCCATGGCGGCCACCTGTATTAATATATATATATGTGTGTGTGTGTGTGTGTGTGCATGCGCCTAGAGGAAGGTCCAAAAGTCGCCACAGACCGTTTTGAGCTACAGGCTGATAATGACAAAAATCACTTTTTTGACCAAAATGTGTTTCCATTTTTAAAAAAGGCAGATCCACAATTTTTTTTACAATGTGCTCAAAGGGTTTTCATTGATTTGAGTTCTAAATATTTTATTTCGAATTATTTTGAGGGTAAGGTATAATGAACACAAATAATGGAAAGTGCTTACAAAAGGTGTTGTCAATTCCTGACGCAAAAGAAATCCTTTCTTGAAGCATGATTTCTCTTCCCTGCTATGTTTTACCATTGACTTCCATGCATAATATTGAAGTCAACTGAATGGCAAATTGGACATGAATTTTCCATGAATAAATACTTTAAAAAGAATTTTTTTTAAAAGTTTGTACTAGTTCGCACGTTCGTTAACCTTAAAACCTCATTTTCTCAAAATTCTATCTTAATACTCTAGCTCGCAAAATGTGCAATATCTGAAAAACTACTTGAGGAGATATCTACAAAATTCAAAGACCCCTGTGTTCACAATTGAATTTGCCTACCAAGGTACAATCCGTAACTCAAAATGGTCAAAATCCGACTTTTGGTACCTTTCTTTAGGCACACACACTTATATTATAAACTGCCACTTTCCACTCCCCTTTGAATTCCTTTCAATATAATTTCATTGTGTAAAACGATCACTTGTCCAATGCCGCCACTGCCACCCTGTTTCCATAAACGGAAGGAAAAAAAACCCTGTCTAAAAACAGCAAAGCAAATCTCGTACTCAATGCCTGATGTTTTGTGATAAATAATGTACTGGTTCCTCATGCCGTGGACGAGCTGTCATAGTACACACAGCTGTCGTTACTGTTAGTCCCTCCCATGCCCGATCATGTTGGGAATGTCCCTTCAATGTCCAATCATGTTGGGTAGATCCCATCCACTGATGTTTACCCAAGTTGACCACCTGGTAACAATACATACTTTCAGTTGCAGGTGAGAAAAGCTTGTGATCCGTCATAACCTATTTATAACTATAAGCCCACCCACAACTCATACACAAATCGTAAGCGAGGTGCCCGGTCACTGTTTACCCAGTCTTTAACAATGGCCAAGAACATACAGTTGCGACTGAAGCGTTGCTCGTTCTACGAGCGGTGGCGACCCATTGATTTATTTTTACCTTGTCTGACATATTTTGTCCTGTTTTCCCCTTGCACACCGCCTTCCTCATTCGATACACTTTGTAGAATTTAAAACTTATTGATTACAGCAGTCGCGGGACTTCGTCTCTCTGTGTAAACAAAAATGTTTCACACATTTAGATAAATCCAGCCGTTGACTTTACTGATTTTGAAGAGGCTAGGACCCCACGCGACACGACATATTAAGGAGACGCACTCTAAGAAATTTTGTTGCCTCTAGTTATTTTCCCTACCTTTAGCCATTGTTCAGAATTCCTAGCCATACAGAATGTTGATCTATAGAATGGTTGACCACAATGCCTTCTTTAAAAAAATCCCCCCTTTCGATGTTGAGATGTTTCTGAAGAAAATTAAATTCTAACTATAAGATTGCTTCTTTTGAACTTTAGGATAAAATTGTACAAATTGAAGGATAAAAGTGAAAGAAACGGAATTAGTAGGAACTTTCAAGCAGAACTAAAACTGGAAATCATCTTCAGTGGCGAGCATTAGATAAAAGACAAATCTCTGTGTTGCTTTACAAAAAAAAAAAAAAGAAGGAAAAAAAAATCAAAATAAGAGGGATAAAAACTTTGTACAGCAATGAAAAGAATAAGAAAAGCATCGGTAATTCTGGCATCCGAACCAGTGACAGCCATGTTGTAATACTGTACAAGAATTAAATGCAAACAGTGCTTGGTTGTCACCATCAAATTACCATCAGGACATTATTCATTATCACCTTTGTGCTTATGAACCTTACCAAAAAAAAAAAAAAAAAAAAAAAAGAGGAAAAGTACGAAACTTTTTACCCTGAGAAACATGATAATATCCAGAGACGAAAAGCAAAGAATGAAAGAGATCAACATGCTTTACTTTAGAGTTTTACGCCACTAACAACACAAACAGGTCATATCATATAAGAGCCAAAAAATAGAGACTTGTTTTAGTAGACGTTTTACGGCGCTCGCAACTGTATAAGGTCGTATGAGCGCCAAGGGGTGAATGTCAACAGAGAAGTCCTTACAGGAATCAGACTTACTCTGCAAACCTCTCTTGCCTCAACAGCACAAAGTCTGCTTCGACTATCGAGGCACCCCGGAAATAGGGGGTCACAAGAGCGTGACAAACATACAAAAAAAAGTAGAGGGTAAATGTCAATATTAAGGATTAGGAAAGAAAAAGCAGCAGTTCCCTGTTGTAAATCAGGCACAGTTATGAGCGTGACATTGATGAATCAGCCCATATACAAATCTACTGTGCATGAACGAGAAATGACCCCCCTTTGGGAATGGCCAAAAGACACTTGAGTCAGTGGCACGGCCCCGGGGGGTATAGAGGTTTTACAAGAGAGTAAAGTAAACAAAAAAGAAGAGATGGGGATGACAGATGTCATGTTCCATAGAAAAGAAGGAACAAACCACACCATAAACAATATGGTTAATTTATATTGAGAAAAAATAAAACAAAACAAACAACATATCAGGAAAATAATTGTCAAATTAAGCAAACACGATCTGTCTACAGACTAGAGGCACAAAAAAGGTTCTAAAATTTTTGTTTAAAGCATAAAACACTGAAAGAAAACACCACCTTGGCCATACCTAAGTGAACTGGTCAAGCGACCCTCCCACAAAACAAAAAAAAACCCAAACCCAAACCCCTGACGATACACGATACAATAGGGTAAAGCAAAACTCAAAGTGGGAACAAATGTGAAGCGTGCTGACAAAATGAGTTACTTCTCGGATTCAAGCCTTAAGGAAATAGATACATCACGCTTATAGGTGAAGTTTTTACTATTTGTAAGTATGAAATAATAAAAAGACAGGTTATAGTTCAAGAATATGGCATTATAGAAAATAAACAAATTTGACCCTTATGCCGATTTTTGGCCAATATCTCCATTTTGTGGATTGCGAGAAGTAACTCAGCAGGCCTCACAAATCTACAAAGGCCATAATATCGTAACAACAGTCACACCATACTATTAGTTTGCCACAGACGGATGCAACAGCTGCGGGTCACATTCTTCACATAGCTGCCAGAGCTAGACCGGAGGTTGTCGCCGTCGTTGTTGCTGCCGAGGGTACGTCCGAAGGAGGAAGTGGTCTGGGTCGGCGAAACAGTAGCACATGGGGTTCTGGGGACAATTCGGGAAATTAACTCTTGTATTGTTTTAGTAGAGGTTTTACAGCGCTCGCAACTACATATGGTCATATGAGCCCCAGAAGAGTAGAGGTGTTACAAGAGAGTAACAAACATAAAAAAGAAGAAGGGGGAGATAAGGACGATAGATGTTTGATAGGAAAGAAGCCCATATCGTTGTTACAAAAAAGGACGTACTGTATAATAACACGGATAGCTCGAATACGTGCGGACCGGCCTCTGAAGTTTGAGGAATTCAGTGGACGACATTGGTCGACATATCTTACAAAGAACTGGATCGATAACAACATCTTACAAAGACAAAGAAGGAAGAAAATGAACGGGACTGCAGGCACAATTCGACTGATGTGTAACTTCAGGTCTTTTGTGTTCGACCTATCCGTATTATACTGTATGTCACAGAACGAGAGAAAAAAGTTCTATCTTCCAGTCTTATTTATAGACAAAAAAGGACATATTTCTTGGGTCTTATTCATAACAAAGAAAAAGGAAACATTAAACCTGTCTTATTGAAAGACGAACAATACATTCCCTTTATCCATGGTGAATAATACATTTCTCCTTTTATCCCTTGAGAAAAATAAATTTCACGTCTTATTCACAGAGAAAAAATACATTTCCCCTCTTATTCCTAGAGAAAAATACATTTCCCGTCTTATTCACAGCGAAGAATACATTTCTACTCTTTTTCAGAGTGAAAAATACCTCCTATGTCACATTCATAAAAAGAAAAAGGAAATAATTATTTCTCCTCTTATTCATAAAGAAAAATAAAACATTTTTCCTGTTTTATAAAGAAAAGGGTAGAGTAGCTTGACCCCCTCGCAGCCACTGCTGGTGTGCGGCCAGTTCTCATAACTCGCATTCCAGTTGCTGTAAGGCTTTGAATAAACCACTGTAGCTTCTCTTGGGTCTGCCAATGCGTTCACTTTCATTTCCGGTCTTTCCCGCTGTTCCGACACACGTGATGCGAGTTTGAACTTTTCAACCCAGAAAACATCCCTTTGTGAAATTTCAGGTGACTTTTTCATTAGCTCTTACCACAACCTAAATATTATTATTTTGTCAAGTAAGTGTGGTTTCTGTGTTTTAAAATGCATGTTTTTAAGCCTAACATTGTATAAATATCGCTCAAATGTAAACTTTCAGAGAAACGTCGATGGACGCAGCCAGGGCAGGGTAATTTCTCATGTGGGCCCACATGCGGTCGAATCGGCCGCACCGAGGACAGGCCTTACAGTAGAGGTCCTGGCCGCGGCCAGAGTCCAAAATGATAGATAGCCCTGGTCAAATAAAGGCAACGGTCTTGAGATAGAATCTAGACTTTGTTCTTGATAGAGGTAGGCTGTTTGCAAAGCTTTTTGTTCACTTAATAAAGCTAGATCTAGATCTACTGGTAACGAAACAATACGATATTTTCAAGCATGGCACCGATCTCAGTGGCCTAGTGGTATGGCGTCCTTTTCGGGAATGGAAGATCGTGGGTTCAATTCCCGACCAGGTCATACCTAAGACTAAAAAAACTGGCAATCTAGATCTAGTAGCTGTCCCACCTGGCGTCGGCATTATGGGACGAGTGCTATGACGGGTTGGCCCGGTGTTAATACACTGGGACTTGATGGGATAATAAGTTTTGTTACATTTCATATCCCAGTGTAACAGCACGTTAATTTGCCTAAATGACCTACTGGTTTTCATTAGAGACGTTAAAGGCCAACTCAAACAAAAACTCAAGTATGGCATGAAGTGAACTCTGAACTATCCAAAAAATGGGTTTTCCCAAGCAAGTCTCAAAATGAGTGGGAAACCGAAGGGGACAAAAGAAGGTTTAGACAATGTGTACCAAGCAGTCAGTGAAGGGATGGGGAGACGCCAAGTCAATCTGAGACTGAAACATTCCTTCGTTCCTCCTACTTTGCAACGCAGGAATAATGGCAGCAAGAGAAACTTAGAAAGACATTGCTGGAAAACCTTCCATCACTCATCAGTGGACAAGAATTAATTGACTCTTTAATCAACAAGACGAGAAAGATCAAAAGATCAGAGATGGAAATGAGAAAAGAGGACAGAGTAGAGCCAAAATGGAAGAGGAGAAATGGAAGACGGGAAAGGAAAGAGAAAAACAGCGAGAGGAGCTAAAGAAGCAAAGTGGAGAAAGAAAATAGAAAGAAGATGCAAGAAGAGAGGAGACTAGTTAAGGAGAAGGGGACGGAGAATAAAAAGCAAAAGAAAAAAGTCCAAAGTGAAAGGAAACAAATCCAAGAAGAGGTTGAGCGATTCAGACAATGACACAAGTGCAGGTATCAATGTAAGTGAAATGATACTGTGTGATGAAGATGACCTGCAGTTGGAAGATTTCATGGAAGAAGAATGTTCGACTGAGGAATCCACCATGTTTGCTGAAGTGGGGGTTGTGGAAAGACATGAAACTCCACAGAGATGACACATGGACAATGAAACGCTTGAACTTGATGAAGGATCAAGAGTCGGACCACAGACGGAAAGAAATAGAAACAGTGTTGCTGCTGACAATGAAGGCATAGGAAACAAAAGACAAGTGGTTGAAGCAGAAGAAACAGAAAGAGAAGACATGCTTGAGAGTGACGGAGATGGGAACAAAATACCAGTCGTTGGACTTGGAGTAGAAAGAGAATAACATGCTATGCGTGAGATGAATGAAGAAGAGGTGGAGGACTGCAACATGGTCGGAACTGGAAACGAAATGCAAGCATTGGCAGAAGCGGAAAGAAGGCCAGACACTGTGAATGAGGAGAGTGGGGATTCACTGGTCAGCATGACGGTGGAGATTGTACCTTGAGACCAGAGACGTGAGACTTGTCTGTTCTGCTCTTATCAAGAGTAGACGTAATCTAGATCTAGATCTACCACCCTTGCACTTTTTTGCATAGATCTACGCTGTCATTGATTTCCATTTTGTTTGCATGCTCTGATCAAAAGTAGATTGAATCGCATCTAAGTTGTAAGTACCATTCTTTAATTTTGAACGTTCCCGTTTGCATTCTGTGTCACTGATTTCCATTTCGTTTGCATGCTCTGATCAAGAGTCTGTTGAATCTCATTAAAGTTGAATGTAGGCCTACCATATTTCAAATTGCACCTTATGCGTTTGTTATTGATTTCCTTCACTGCTTGTCATGTTTTCAATTGTTTGAAGCTTGTTTAAGGCCTGGCCGCACCCAGGGCTGCCGGCCGCCAAGTAGTACGCCGAAGTTGTGCAGAAAACACCCACTGCACTCTACACTTGAAGTCTTTAAATTCCCGGCCAGGTCAGGACCCTTCCTGAGGCTTTTTTCTCCTCGAAAATCAAGTAGGGAATCTCTTAGTGCAGAAGCAGTGCTAGCTAGGGGGGAATGTCCGCTCGTGGCCGCAAGTGATCAAGTTACTCTAACATTTCTCCTTCCATCTTATTCATTGATGAGAAAAAAAGCCAAAACATTTCCCCTGTCTTATTCAATCTATAGAGAAAAAGGACAGATTTCTCCTTCAATGTCTTAGTCTTATTCTTTATAGAGAGAGAAAAAAGAAAGAAAAAAAATAAAGAAAGAAAGAAAAAGGAAACTTATTCGGGAAGAAAAAAGGAAACATTCAGGAAGAAAAAAAGGAAACGTTTCTCGTCCGTCTTATTTATGTTTATAGAAAAGGGAAACATATTTCTCCTGGCTTATTCATCAAGATTAAATCCTTCTTTCTTAATGATCAAGAAAAAAGAAAAAATTTCCCATTAGTGTTACTTATCAAGATAGGGAAAAATTTCTTTTTGTCTTATTATTCCTCAAGATAGATCAAGACAGGGAAAAATTTCTTTTTGTCTTATTATTCATCAAGAAAAAGGAAAATTTATTTTCTCCCATTTTTTCTTCTATCAATATTATACGGAAACATTTTTAATTCATTAAGAAAACAGAAATATTTCTCACTTCTTATTCATCGAGAATAAAGATATATGTTTTTAATCATCTGTAATAAATAAGACAATTCTATCTCATTATTTATCTAGAATTTAGAGAAAAAGTTCTAGGCGATACCAGGCTGTCAACTTTTTCCAATCCCAATCAGGTACACCTCATGTTACATCATCAAATTACTTTACAGCAAACAAAATTACATCAAACAGCTGTCCCCGCAGTTTTATTTTTTTTAAATTCTGAAATTATGCAATTCTGTTAATTTTAACTAAGAATGATAAAGGAAAATAATCAGAAATTATGCAAAAAATGATAAAATTTGGCTTAATTATGCGTGGTGCATAAAACCCCCGGGGACAGAAATAGGACGTTTTCAAGTGGTGGTAGTGAAGGCTGAAATGTCCTCTCAAATTCCCGACTGCAGAATCCAAACCAGCCCTGGGACGGGATATTCGAGACTTGGCAAGCCCGAATCCAGGAAACGGGTAAAATTTCCTTCTCCTCTGCCTACCACAGGAGGGCTGATCACTAAAGTGTTACAAAATTCTATTACTAAAGGGATGGGGAGGCATCATCACCATTGCCTTTCTCACCCTGCATCAGGGTATAGGCCACGGACAAATGCCTTCCACCTTTCTCTATATGGGGAGGCAGCCAACCCTTTTATGACCAATTTGGGGGAATAAAAATTAGGGTCTCCAGATCCCCAGTAGATTCAGATTACACTATGAACCAATTGTAACAAACAAAAATGAACTGCAAATTTTAAAAAAGGGTATTATTTTCATGAAATTTAAAATAAATCGTGCTAATATTGCAAATAAACAAACAACGCACATGCTATATTTTCACATCATTTACAATCAGTGACGTACAACTGATGGAAACGGAATTCAAATTTTATAAACAACCCTCACCCCGATTTTATGCAAATCTGAGCGGAGTTCTTCCAGGCAAAACCAATTGGATGGCTCTGATTTTGTTGAAGTACTTAGCTGGTCTGTTTGTCTCGTAACATGATTTATCCAACGTCAGCTTACTAGGCCATTCCATATATATGTGAGTAAACCATCGAACACAACAAAGACTCCAATATCGTCTTTATAGACCAGGAGAAGGCTTTTGACAGAGTAAACCATGCAAAACTCTGGAAGACACTAGTAAAAGAACGGCGTCACAGGACAAATGTTAGTCAGAGCTCTACAAACTAACAGCACAAGCTCAGTAAGAACGAAGGAAGGCAATACAGACTGGTTCAAAGTAAGATCTGGAGTACGACAAGGATGCATTCTATCTACCCTCCTGTTATAAACACAATATATGCGTTATGGACGCAATAACGAAAGACGCAAACCAAAGCCCAGAAAGCCAATTTATGAAATTCTATTCGCAGATGACCAATTTCTTATTCATTCCCGCCCCCTCCAAAGTTTTAGTTTTAGTAGGGGTTTTACGGTGCTCGCAACTGCATAAAGTCATATGAGCGCCAAGGGGTGGATGTTAACAGAGAAGTCCTTACATGGAATTGGGCTTACTCTGCTCACCTCTCTAGCTTGAATAACACAAAGTCTGTTTCGACTATCAAAGCATCCCGGAAATAGCGGGTCACAAGCATGTGACAAATATACAAAAGAAGAAGAGGAAAAAAGACGATAGTAAGGATTAGGAAAGAAAAGCAGCAGTTCCCTGTTGCAGTTCAGGCAGTTATGAGCACGACATTGACGAATCAGCCCATTTACAATTTACAATTGTACTGGGCATAAGAACATATTAATATCTCCCCCTTTGGGAAAGGCCGAAAGACACTTCAATCACACTACCGAACTGAACAACAGCTGCGAGAAATTTAACATGAAAATAAGCATATATATCAAAAACAAAAGTTATGAAAGTAAGCCGAAAGCGTAGTCCCCTGGTCAATAGTAAACAACTGAAACAGGTGAAGGAGTTCAAATATCTTGGCAATACTTTTTCTGAACAAAGATCCATAGACAGAGAAATAGAATTGCGAACTCAAAAAGCCAACGCTGTCATCTATCAGCTCGCACCCCTCCAATCTCATCCAAACATCTCCATGGACACAAAGAGAAAGCTCGTCGCCTTAATATTCATACCAACATTATGCTACCAGTGCCAGACCTGGACATTAAGTAAAACGCATGAAAGCAAAACCACTGCATGCGAAATGAAATTCCACAAAACCCTTAACATCACAAGACAGGACAGGCAGAGAAATGAAGAAGTAAGAGCAGCTATCGGCATCGACTCCTGCCTGCATTACACAGAAAGACAAAAAATAAAATGGTTTGGCCACCTGTTACGTATGTCTCCTGGCCAGCCAGCCTCGAGAGCCTACAACTAGGTACCGCAGGCAAGCCGTTTTCAAGGCAGACAGCTACGGCTGGAGCCAGATTTGGACAACTTCATCCAACTATTAGCTGGTTTTAATTTTGGTAAACACTAATAAAAATTATACCACTGTTTTCTGTGTCTTTCCTTCTCCATGGTGAACGAGAAACTGATAGCATATTTAGTTTTTAATTGACTAAAGTTTAACACGGGAAAACTCGGCCGTCTCGCAATTTTGCGCGCTTAGATTTGGGGGTACTTGTTTTAAATTTCGATTTCTCAGTCGTTAATCATCTAATTTCCTTGCGGTTTGAAACATAAAAATCTGGGATTTCAGGAGAATTTCCAGGGAATGTGTTTAAGTTTTTAATCCGAGCGGAAAGCTTGAGTGGTACGATGTAAAGACGAAGAAAGCATTTTAAAATATGAAATTCGACACAAATCGGGCTATCCGTGCCAGGATCATATTCCTAGACATCTAGTTTATGTGTTTAGAAAAGCCAACTACGTTCCACGAAGTAGAAATATTACTTTTTTTGAAGTGGAGTAACAAACCACTTTCGGGAGATCGTCATTCTGCTATTGCGGCTGTTCCATCGCCCATTTCCACCCCCTCTGACCTTACCCAACCAGCAGACGATTATACTGATGGTTCAGTAAAAGAAACATTCGATAGATCTGTTTATGGCGTCAAATTTATGTAAGTATTATCATAATTTTCTTTTAGGATACTTATGAATATCGTGTTTTGAAAAATAGACTAATAGGCCACCACTTGCCGTGTGGTTGGATTGTTATTGTTTGGTGGGAATCACGCCGACCTACATTTTCCCCACCTCATAGTGAATTAATTGCGATCTATACAAATGTATCGCTTTGTGGTGGTATTTTTGCTGTCTTTTCAACTAAGAACACCTTATTTATTCTAAATGCATCGAAATCTAAGCATCTCTGGTCGACAAAGTGAAATAATAAAGCCGTGAAGAGTTGAACTGGGAGTTTTATTTATAGTAACATGTCATCACACACTACACTCGGAAGGGGGTTACCGGGTGTTAGTGTTACCGATGGAAATGTTCGTAGATCTATTGTATTGTTTGGCATTTAATTCGGTAACAAAAAAGGCTAGATCTACGTTCTTGATTGGTGGATATTCAATTATTGAATCAACCAGCCTTTTTACGTATTCTTAGACTTAGATGTCACCTGATAGGCTAATTGGAGAAATGCTCCCACTCTTTCTTCCATCCACTTACTGGACAAACGATGACACATTGTATTTCCCCAGCCACTGGTTTCTTTCTCAGCTAAAATAATAAATAAATCTAGAACTAGATCTAGATCTATATTATACAAGATGAACCACGGTAGAACAAATGTTGATTTAATTCCAATTTTTAAACCCTCTGAGCAGAAATCTTTATTTTCTGAACCAATATTGATGACTTTTTTCCCATTATTGTCCATATCTGAAATGTTTGGAAGGTTTTTTTCTTTCTATAAACTAATTCACTGTACAGAGCCTGAAGAGTTTTAATTTGATATATAATGCATCTTTGTAGCACAATTTGTTGATTTTATATGAATTTTTTCCCAGTCGGCAGACGTTATAATTTTCACTCAATAATGACAGGTTTTTGGGCATTAGGGCCCTATTATGGAGTGTTATGAGAGGTTTTAGTAAACAATTTTCATTTGGCCCCGTAGAGCTTGCATTGAGCTTTAATTTGATGTATGATTTAGCCCTGTAGCTTAATTTGTTCACTTGTTTTGATGCTTTTTGCCCGAGGATGTACCAGAGTTCCCCTAATTTATTTTCCAAGAGGCGTTTTTTGCACCGAAGCCCACTTCAGAGGAGTCCAGAAAAGTTACTTATTGTCAGAGAGGTCTGAAAAAAATTCAGCTAAGTCTTTGCATGTATTTGTAATGATTGTGTGATTTTCACTAATTTGGAAGAGGTTAAAATAGGGTTCTGAGCTCTTAATGACAAATTTTGGCATTTTTTTTTCAATTTTTGAAGGCCTACATCTTGGAAACCAGTTATTCTAACATGCTTTGATTTAGAGATATCAATATTTGTGTTGACAGCTCTGGGAAAAACAAAGTTTTCATTGATTTGATCATGCACTTTGTATTTTAGAACACCTCAAACATGGATGAGAGTCGCAGTTGAAAAGGTTTCGTTGAAAAATAAAACTTTGAAATACCATATCTCGATTGTATATTGATGGATTTTGATAAAATTCTTTTTTTAATGTTCTTGTTTCATAGAGTAGATTTGAACCCCGAGGTTTAAACGTCAATTTTGTTTTAAAAATTTTCGCTTGTGGTACCTACTACAACACCATGCACTTAAGGCTATAAGGAAGAGGCAGGCCACACAAAAGGTGGATCGAGGGAGTCAAGGAAACCCTGAGAAAACATAACACAACTGAAAGAGCTGCAGAGCTGGCTTACCATAGAAAACTGCATATCCTCTCGACGCTTTACAGCAACAGAGGATGAAAAAGTAAAATTAAGTAGTACTTCGCTTTTTTAGTTTTAGTAGAGGTTTTACGGTGCTTGCAACTGCATACGGTCATACGAGCGCCAGAAGATTAGAGGTGTTACAAGAGAGTAACAAACATAAAAAAGAAGAACGAAAGATAACGACGATAAATGTTTAATAGGAAAGAAGAAGCAAACCCCACACCAGAGCACCCGCCAACCACCCACAGTACTTGGCTGGTCTGGGGAGGAACTTTTTCCTACCTGGTGCGTGCACCATGTAGTGGACCCATCCTGGCGACTGCTGCACTCCTAGGTTCCTCCACTCCGTCTCCGTCATCAGGTGGCTGTTCGGCACTAACTTGGCAATGTCGTTCGGCAAGATTACATGTCTGGAGGAGAAACAAATATATAATAATAGATACCATTTTTATAGTGCAAATCCCCGCTTAACAGCAAGCTCTATGCCCTTCACAATCTATACTATTACCCCAGCAGACCTGAGAGCATTCTGAAACAACCTCAACTTCCTGGGAAGCATACAGTGCAAGCAGTCTTTTATAAGCTGCTGAAACACTAACATACTGACAAGATAACTACAAGAAACGATATAATTTCAACGTAAAATGGTCAGATCACCATTGTAAAAAACAGCGGAGTAGGGATGGTGAGTCTTGAGTACTTCTACTTCTAGTTCTAGTCAAACAATATATAAATAAAACGATATTTGAAAAAAAACCTGAAAATGAGCGGGGCATCACATCTCACCTAAAACAAACCTTGTAAAGTTTTTCAATGAGCACACAAAGATATCTCTCTTACCTCTCCCCTTTCATTTGCAAGGGTATGGGGACTGTTTAATCAATTCCAGTAATATTATATCTGTACTGAGAAGAAGGATATGTCAGTGGCCTTCTTCTTCTGGGATGCCAAATGATTTTTGAAAAAAAAACAACAACCCTGAAAAAGCCTGAAAAACCTTAGATTTGGCATCCCTGATAAAAACTTTTGTAGCCTATATCAAAACAGCTCATTGTGACACACCAAAAGCTTCTTGCCGAGCATCAGAGTCAAACTAGACAGCGCTGTAAATATATGAAGAGCACAGGGGGAAAAACGTCGGTAGTCATAAACTGGAACTTGTGAGGGTGTCAATTTTAAAAGCTTGTGGACTCATAAATTCACATTTGTTTGACTGGTGGTTTATTGTTAAGTGTTGTTGAAAAGAAAAACCTAACTTCCATCTACGTCACTGACATGCAAGCACTGCGACAGAATCTGCGCTTCAAACATAGGAAGAATTAGCCATGAAAGAAGCTGCATTGAAGACAACTTTGAGGCCATCTAAAAGCTAAATTGACCGTCTGCATAGACGAAAAGAGCCATATATATATGTTGAATAGTAAATCTAACAACAGTTGAACAGAAATACAGTTATGAGTCAATAGCGTTCAAAATTGGTACCCTCACGATTTTCAGTTTGTGTGACTACCATCGTTTTCCCCCTTTAGTCTTCATTTGCATCAAGGAAAGGGTCCTAGCAAAAGGTGTTCGAGTACTTATGAAACCTATCCGTACGTCATGTTCTACTGTCATATCCATACGACGTGGGGAACTCTGTGCCACCACTTTTAAAAGAGGAAATTTACTCGTTAATCCGATCTGTACGGCTTTGCATAGCAGTCTGTCAAAATGATTTTTTGAGAAATACTGAAAGTTTCAGAGATCGTACTAAAAGCATTCCAAAATATGAAGAATACAACCCCGGGGATACAAAATGACCCCAGGGCGTACGGATAGGGTTTAGAAAAGAATACTGGTGTAGAAAGTGTACTCAATTATCTCGCTTAAAGTAATGTGACAGCTCTGGCCGATGCAAAGTCAATGGAGTTCCCTTCGCAGACAGGCTGATGGATGGTTAATTACTTAACTATGGGATAAACTCACTGTCTTTTAGCATCACACATGATTCAGAACAGACTAGGATACGACATTTTTTTTGTTTCAGTGACCAGTGTATACAAGACAATGGACTAACAGTTGTAACACTTCTCCCAGGCTTTTTTTCTTCTTCCACACCTCTTTTCTACTTGTATTTTTTGTTAGTGGCATTCATCCTGTCTTTATCTCTCTCTCTCTCTCTCTGGCAGCAGGAAAAATATATCAACTACATTATAATAATATAATGATATATTTTTCCTGCTGCCAGAGAAAAATATAATTTATAATTCATGAAGCAGTGGCATTCGCCTAACAGCAACCCCTTAGAAAGCAAGCCTTGATTGCAGTTTTGCGGACATTGCTGTAAAATTCAAAGAACACGATAACAAAAACACAGGACATGGTGTGGTGTTGTGTTATGTCAGAAAGTAAGAACATAGGCAGAGTTGTAGCATCGGCGACAATAATGTTCAACATAGAGGGTCAAGACTTCCCCTCACTCTAGTAAAAAAAATTGTGAAATGGTATGGGTTTAACTATCAACACTATTGGGTTATTTAACAGGGATCCCACTCAACTTTTTTGAAAAAAGCTGAAAATCCACGCGCCAGTCTTGCTAACACATGAACTTAAAAAAAAAAAAATCAAAGTAGAGGGTTTTACGGCGCTCGCAACTGCATAAAGGTCATATGAGTGCCAAGGGGTGGGTGTCAACAGAGAAGTCTTTACAGGGAATCAGACTTAGACTGCTCACCTCTCTAGCTTCAACAGCACAAGGTCTGCTTCGACTATCAAGGCACCCCGGAAATAGCAGGTCACAAAAGAGTGACAAACATACAAAAGAAGTAGAGGAAAATGACAATAGTAAGG